GAAGATCACTTTGATGTAAGTACTCATAGAATAATATTTTAAGTCTCTTCTTTTATTATCAGTTTTAATAATACAAGTTTTAAGGTTATGTATGAATGACATTTAGTTGTTTACTATCAAATAGACGTCACAATCTTGGAGGATTAAAAGATATGAAAATAAACTTATGCTCATATAATAAAGCTGTCTCTGGGCTATAAGATTAATTAATATTTTTTAAATGAAAAACACTCAAATATATCTACTCAATGTACGAGTATGTTGCGGAAGTAGGAAAAAAGCTAGCGCCAGACTTGAAATAAAAGAAGGAACAAAAGTTTAACATAAATACAAGACATTTTTCACGTGAACTTTTTTTTATGTTACCTTAAAACGAATATAGTGTTACAGGAATTATGCGGCAGTAAGCGGAGTTGCATTCTAGACCAGTTTTCGAGCCATGAAATTGACCATGTAATTTCGAGGCAATCCTCTTTGGGCCTCGGTAGAAGTGTACGCATATGAGACCTCTACTAAGAAATTACTTCAGCAACTGCTTGTGAATGGAATACCTATTATTAGTATTGCCAACTCAAGTATAAAAGAACAATTATACTACAGAGTGCATTTTTTTGTAAAATTATCCTTAGATTTAAAAATCTAGCAGTTAAATGCTTAAAATAATAAAATATTAATCAAATAAGTATTTTTACTTTGATGATGATATAAAAGCGAATATTTCTGACACACACCAAACTAGCCTAGCCTCAAAGTAAACACTGTGAGGCTTTACTTACAGGATATTAGTACAATGGATAGAAATACACGTAATGCCCCATAGATAATATGTATGTATGTGTATATTTAATATTTTCATGAGCTGTTTATACTCCTAGCACGAACCAATTTCGAATTTGAATAGTTTGCGAGTACGAAATGTCACTGTCAAATGTGTACTGATTTTTATTTCTCGTTACGTCCGTTATGGCGCGGGGGTTTAATGTTCCATACAAAATTTGACAATGGCATTTCGGATTTGCAAACTATTCGAATTCGATAATGGTTCGTGCTAAGGGTTACTGTACTATTTTTTGTCAAAGTTTATATGGAAAAGCTAGTTTATTCTTACGTCCGGTAGAGGCGCTGCTTAGTTTCCATAGAAAACTAGACGATGGTGGTACGATTACGGATCTGTCAATGTTCGTGCTTCTGCACCATGGAACTTCTCAATTACTATTAGTAGGTCCTAAGTTGATGAAGTTTGTATCTAAGGTGTAGGTCCTAAGTTGGTGTAGATTATTATGATTTGAGGAGCTCGATGGCGCAGGTAGCGCTTGCGCCAGCGCGTTCGGCTGCGATCGTTGAAGTTAATCAAATTTAGCAATAGTCGGTCATTGGATGGGTGACCAAAAGTCATCCATCTGGAGTTCCTCCGTGCTTCGGAAGGCACGTTAAGCCGTTGGTCCTGGCTGCATCTGCAGTCGTTAGCACCCGCCAATCCGCACTGGCCCCGCGTGGTGGGTCATGGCCCAATCTCCGTATTCCATCCATAGGGAAGGCCTGTGCCCCAGCAGTGTGGACATTAATAGGCTGATGATGATTATGATTTGATCAGATCTCAAGTACTCGTCTCTTGTACTTATTACATCTGTAATATATAAGATATGAAAAAAATGTTTTGTTTTTAGTTTAACAAACTACATTAAGTTAGGTAAATCAAAAACGTACACACCGTTAATGTGGTTAAAGGAATAAAAGTGAAATAGACATTGCAGATGTTAATAGAAAATTACTTTGAAGTTAATGAAATTCACACCACAATTGATTTTATTAACAAGCATTATTACTAGGATAATCTTATAAAGGAAGATGTATTCTGGTAGCAGAATAGCTTTTAAAATACAATAACCATATTTTGAAATAAAAGAGACATATTACGATTTTGTGTTAGTAAAATGGTTTTTTTATTAGGTAATTTCTTGCGAATTTTTTATTATTTAAAATAAACCCATACACAATCTCTTCAGGAAAAAGTTGAAACAAATTAATTTCAAGTCCTCAAAAGACAATATTATCAGGATATGCAATCGTACTGGGTATAGTATAGTTCTTAGTAAGGGTACCGGCATGCATGACGAAGTCGTGCCGTGACTTTTCTTGCTGACTTTTATTATAACTGATGGACTAAATTTTGATGCGATGATTCGTGTAGTATATTTCTGACAATATTTAAATTTAGTAGACGAAATAGTCTCATTTTTTTAAAATTATTAATCATTTTCTATTTCACGTCCGTTTTAACAAATAACGCTATTTCTCAATAATAATTATGTAAGGTAGGATTTTAATTTTTTACAAGTTAGTAAAGGGCACGTTAATATACATACACATATATAAGTAAGATTTTAAATGGACTTGATGCTTTATTTACCTAGCAATTAAAAAAACAAAAGCGCAAGAAGATTTCTAGTCAAAATTTATTCACCGTTGTTACTTCTGGATTTTAGGTATAAAGTGTCTTAAAATTGTTTGAAATGTCTCCCTAGAATTCTTCGTCCACGTCCGAATTTGTATTTAGAATTATTCAACTATGGCTAGTTTGTGCTTCTTTGTCGAACCTCTTGGCTGAGCGGTCGCCATCAGGGCATATACAGGGTGTCCCGTAAGTAATGGTCCAACCGTAAACCCTAGGTAGTTCACTCAATTGCCTACAAGCAATTTGAACCGTTTTTTGAAATTCATTAGGGTTGTCAAAAAAAATTATAAAAGTTTTTTTTTTCAATATTTCTGTCTTGAATTGGTTTTTTTAATAGCATTGATGCAAATATTAAAAATTTTCAAACTTTTTTTCACTAATATGTAGCTAGATAGATTACCTATCAACTTGTTTATCACATTTGCATAATGACATTGTATTTCTCTCAAAAATATTGAAGTAACTTAACATTTTATTGCATTTTATTTGGATAACCTAAATTGAAAAGCTCCCAATGTAAAAAAAAAGTATGACACAAAAGTGTTCCATTATTTTAAAAACATGTGCATTAAGTAAGGTTTCAAAATTGGTATAAAACTTATGGTTAACTAGTAAAGTTGCAAACATAATACAATGAATCCGAAGAAGAGGCGAATATCTAAAAAAAACTAAATTAATTAAATTAGTATTTGTGTAAACGACGGGTAAAATAAGGTCTTTAGAAATAAAAGCAAAAAACCGTTATAATTTTATAATAAATGCTCAAAGTGCCTTCCGCCTACAGCTATGCACATTCTGCTCCTCCTTGTACACGTTGTAGATGGTACGGGTGCAAACGGTATCTTTTTAAAACCCTGTGCACCGATGCTCTAGGTATTCCAGAACGTCGTGCTATAGTTCGAACTGACGTTGATGCATCTTCTTGTACTTGTTGCAAAATTATTTAGTCATTGACTTGCTGTGGTCTTCCTTCACCGACACCAACTCCAGTACCAAGAATCCTTCCATCAAGTAGCGAGTTATGCACTCTAAGCAAAAATTCGGTGGTCAGGGTGACGCAAATTCGGGTACCTTTCTCGGTACAATCTTGCAGCTTCTCTGGCATTACCTCTTGCTTCTCCATAGGTGTAATGCATCATAGCATATTCACGAGGTGTACACGTTGCGAGGCATTGCAAAGTTCAGAGATTCAACAACCCCAAACAAACAGATTTTCGGAGTCCAATAGACTCGCCAAGTCGTTAACTCTATAAAAAACAAAAACAGTCCAAATTCGATAGGTAATTCGTAAAGTCCAAATTCACACCAGTCTCGGCGGCGCGCGACGTGGCACTGCGTAGATTTGTCTTGCCAAGATTGGTTAGCGGCCGTGTAAATGACATTATTTGTCTGTGTGCGTGCGTCGATTCGAGGGCTAGTATGATCAAAGTACTAATCTTGTGTACTGTGCGCGTAGTGTCGAAAACATTCCTAATAATGAAAAAATGCACAACTAGAGACTAATTAAATTTAATTATATTTTTTAAGATATTTGCCTCTTCTTCGGATTCATTGTATTATGTTTGCAACTTTACTAGTTAACCATAAGTTTTATACCAATTTTGAAACCTTACTTAATGCACATGTTTTTAAAATAATGGAACACTTTGGTGTCATACTTGTTTTTAACATTAGGAGCTTTTCAATTTAGGTCATCCAAATAAAATACAATAAAATGTTAAGTTACTTCAATATTTTTGAGAGAAATACAATGTCATTATGCAAATGTGATAAACGAGTTGATAGTCAATCTATCTACCTACATTTTAGCGAAAAAAAATTTGAAAATTTTTAATATTTGCGTCAATGCCATTAAAAAAACCAATTCAAGACAGAAATATTGAAAAAAAAAAACATTTTATCATTTTTTTTGGCAACCCTAATGAATATCAAAAAACGGTTCAAATCAGTTGTAGGCAATCAAGTGAACTACCTAGGGTTTACGGTTGGACCATTACTTACGGGACACCCTGTATAGCATTGCTATATCATAAGTGCATTTGGTGTTGCCACTTCTTAAGACTATAAGCTATCCTGGTGCATCCATGATGCCCTTGATTTTGACCATCAGTAGTTATTACAAACACCCTGATGTGATAATAATAACTTCTGATGGTCAAAATACCATAATATTAAGGTACAATTGCATATTTATCATTCATTGGATATGTCTATTAGAAAAGTAATGTGATGAAACATGTCAAATGAATGATAAATTTATACGTTTTTAAAGCAATATTGTAAAACACTGATTAATTTTACCAAGTTTTTGAATTAGAGAAGTGACTTTAATGCTAGTTACAGTTTTTGTGTTCTGTATTACAGAAGCAAATTAATTGATAGATAATATTTTTTTGTCAGTAATTAGCATATCTTTATTAGCATGCTTCAATTTCTTTTCTCAGTAAAATCATATTTGTTTACAATCGATTGATTGTGTTTATAATTTGGCCATTATATTACGACGCACACTTTTCGTTCGAGCGGTCAATAGCAAGTTGCGCTCGCGGCAGCCACAATGGGCGCAGCGGCAATACGGAGCAACCTTCGAAAGGAACCGCACGTACACCCGGACAGTTATACAGTTATATAGAATAATACTTGTACCTTTTATAATTTTACACACAGCAATATGAAGAGTTTAATAATAATTGTCGGCTTTGCCTGCGGATTGGGTAAGTGATATTATAAATATTTATTTATTAAATTGTCGTTCATAATAAATAATGCCGCTTTAGACAATTTCAAGTAATCGTAAAACTTTAGAAGTTTCTGGCGTGTTTCGCTTGTAATTTGAAATCCTCTTAGTTGATGAGTTTTTATAGGTTTTCTGTTGAAACTGAAGAATTATAAAGGCATTGTAATTTAAATAAGTTAACTTTATATCGGCGTTGACAGCGCATGTCCTCCCTTTCGAGAAATCCAAGTTATTTTTGAGGTTGGCATTGAAAGGTACTTTGTCATTTAAGTAAAATTAAGTTTTCTTTGACTTTTATGAAGTTAGTTTTTTTACAGTTTTGATCTTAAATTAAAAAAATGTTATATTATTGTGTTAGTAGATTTTAATTTAAGACTTACAACATCTTGAAAAATATTATGTTTGAAAACGTTTGTGTTATTTATAGAATAAATGTAAGGTAGTATTGCTTCCATATTTATTTAGATACAAAATCTTTAAAGGTTATAATAAGAAAATAAAAACACTAATTACATAAACGTGACATGGATTTGTTAGAGAATGCAGTTTGCAATACTTATATTTAGTATGAAAGGGTTATATTGAAAAACACCGCAAAATTACTTATGTGCGTAATATATGAACTTTCTAGACTTGATATTGGCAGGAGTCAAAGTACGTTCTGTAAGATAGTCGCCATTGTTTTTTACCCAACTCCATCTCTTTCAAAAGTAGCATTGACAAATTACTCGTAAAGTTTTTGAAATAAGAATTTGAAATCGAAATAATACTACACTAAAAAAAATAGAAGTTGCAATAGTCGTGTTTTGTATAGTGATTATCAATCGTAGAAGTGACACAAAATTCTTATCAGGTAAACATAATGGCCTATGCTTCCTCTTATTTAAGTTGTACTTTAGGTATATTAATAGAAGCACTTCACAGCCCTCTTATATAATAATTATTATCTGCGGTATAAAATGAAATTGCAACGAACTCGCCATGAAGCTTCATTTTGCAAGGATATCAAAAAGAGATTTCTATAAAGGAAGATTTTGCTTTTTTGAAGTAATTAAAATTAAGGAAGCTCCTTAAAGTTTAAACGTTCTAAACATCGAAAAGTTGTAGAAGTAATATACTTAATATAATAGAAATTTCCTTGGAGGAATCCTTAATGGGGACAGGTGACTGTGCATTTACCAGGGTGCCGAATCTGATAAGTTAATGTAATAATCGTGTGTTAATGGTGTTTCACTAGTTTTGATTTTTAATACAGTTATTGTTAGTAAGACACATAATAAGAAACGTATTTGATTACTCATTTGTTATAGTTATCTGTATGCATTTCTTACTTTACGTTTTAGAAACAGGAACGGTGTCAAAAAGTGATACTATTGATGTACTATTAGGACGTGGACCTCCAGCAGCTGTTTAAATTTTAAAACTCAATATTATTATTATATTGTCTTCCTATTTACGAAAAATGAGTGTTTACATTATGTAGGTAGGTATATGACATATTTTTCATTCAGTAATGACAATCGTAATTTCATTAAATAATTACCAAATCGTTAGCATTATGTTTCTTGCTTTAGAACTTTAGATATTTTTTGACATTTATGTCATCATGAAACGAAATTTTAGTAGATATAGTTTTGATATTTATAAGTCTTATATTTTTTGAGCAAATCGGACAGAGCTCTAAAGCACTGGCGGGTGACGCGGTTTATTTGCTGTGGAGTGTATAACCGAATTTTAGGTATACGTGTTATAATCCTTAAATGTATTATTAGATCTGTGTGCATACCTATGCAACATTATATATATACCTAGTCAGGTCATAAATTCTGTCACATGTTTAATATAAAATAATGGAACAAGTTTATTCATTATGTAACCATTTATATACCAAAATAAACTTAACAAACATAGATTCTTATGATCATAAAGTTTATTCAAAATGACCTCCGTGATTTTGAATACAGACCTTCAATCTGCGCGGCCAGTCGTCTATCGCAGCACGAACGAGGTCCATGTCAATATCGGCGGCTGCCTTAATCAAGGATGTCTTGAGTGGCTCTAAATTGGGATGAGATTTTGAGCTCGCCTTTTCCTCCAAGTGTTGCCATATCTTGTAATCTAACGGAAGCAAATCTGGACTGGAGGAGGGCCAGTCTTCGTGCCAGATGAAGTCGATTTCACGCGCCGCCAGCCAGTCTTGTGTGCTCTTCGCTCTATGAGCTGGCGCCGAATCTTGTTGGAATACCCAGTGCCTGTTATTGAACATGGTATGAGAAACAGGTTCCACAGGGTTAGTCAGGACTGTATTTTGATACACAACTGCATTTGTTTTTACACCTTTCTCACAAAAATGTATCTCTGCTAAGCCCCAATAAGAACCTCCCAACCATACCATGAGCGAGGATGGAAAATGACCTCGTTGGACATGCGGAATATGGTTGCTCGCTTCTACACTATTGTGTGCATACACCTTATCATTTTGTTTGTTGTAGCTTTCTTCTACGGTAAAAATTTTTTCATCCGAAAAAAGAATTCCCCGATATTTTTTTTCCGCGTACCGCTTCAACAAAGCGCGGCATCTCTTCAGTCTCAAGTCCATTAGACAAGCATTCAAACGATGTCCTGTTTTTCTTCGATATGCCCGAAGAAAAAAGTCTTTATTTAACACCCTTTTCACCGTGGTTCTGCTTAACCCCATCTGAAGGGCCAACAGTTTCTGCTTACGTTTGGGATTTCTTTGAATTCGCGCCTTCACAGCTTTTATCACTGCTGGAGTCCTAACAGACCGAGGGCGACCACTTCTTGACCTGTCATGTACACTAGAGTCTTCATTGTATCGTTTGATGGTACTGTACTGGTGTATTTTTCAGTATGTCAAAACGCAATAACTGCAACACGGTCTTCTTTAAGCGTCCAATTCCATATTTAAAAATGAGTAAAATTCTAAAAAGTATACATTTTTATTTACATGAACAATTCGAAATTTGAATTCAATAAACTTTTTTGTGACCAGCATTCTAAAAGAAAAGTTTTTACTGTGTGACAATACTTATAACCTGACTGTGTATATACACGCCGGTATGCACAGGCGTGCAGCTGCGTTTCGGCGTATACTCAAATCGAACAATCGATTACTTTAACCCAGATTCGTATTCGCAATCTATCAAGTCCTGGTTTTTGAACAATGCGTAACTATTACTAAATGCAATCTGGAGTCTGATTCATTCAGCCAGTCATATAACTTTCTCGTGAAAACAATTCCTTTACATTTACGCCTCGTGCTCTTTCTTTTTCTTTTGCATTGGTAATAACAATAAAAAAAAAAATGATCGTGAGGTATTTGAAAACCTCAGGGGGCTAGAAATAACAATATAAAATCGTAAGCGTTAGCGTTTCCCAAAGCATTTCCGTTAGGCGATTGGCCCCCAGCAGTGATATCCTGTAAGAACAATCCGCGGTATGATTTAAAATTAGAACAGGAATTTGAAATAAATTTCAAATCACACCGGCGAATTCGACGCGAATTCCGCGATGAAAAGAGAGTAGGTATATTCTTATGCTTATCCCACACCTGCGAGACGCAGCTTCGTGGTGGCTTTGGTACTAAAATACGTTATAATTTGCGTTCGAACTCTGAATTAAGTACGCTCATTCAGCTGCCCATACAGATATTTAGTCTATCACAACCTCTTTTAGCGTGTCAAATTATCGTCAGTCAAGCTATCGTCTAGCGTCTATAGAAACAAGCAGCCGGCTAATTCATTACGACAGAACTTTCAAATATCGAACGCAAATTTTTAGCGCATTTAGTCCTAAAGCCTCGACGCGCAAGTGTAGGAGAAGCACTAAAGAATATCACAACCACAGATCACAACAGTTTATTTTAGTTAGTGGGTGGTCTAGTTGTCGTACTTTAGGAATGTCTTAAAACGTGCACATGACGAGCCGGTTAACACGTCGGTGGGTCGTGGGGTGGTTTCGTCAGGCTCGGGCGACGAGTTTCCGTGACAGTGCTCAATAGCCAAATTGGCCTTGCAACACATGAAGCGAATTCACTGGAGCAACAAACAGCGGTGGGACGCGTGAGTGAAAGGAGGACGGTTTGTCGACAGGGCTCCAGCTATGTAGCCGCCATTGTGGGACTATTTTTATTTTATGAGTAAGCTCGGTTGGGCGCTTTTGTTTCTCATGTTTTCATGCACACCAATCATTCAATATAACACTATTGAAAAGGTTAAAACGCGAACATCCAAGGAGTTACGTAGCATGTAAAGGATCGGAAACAAAGTTGGGAATAATAAAAAAAAAATATAAGTTGGGAATAGCATTTTCTTTCGAAGGATACATTGATTTATACTATTCCTGTTAGGAATTAAAAAAAATCCAATTCTTTAATTATAGGACATGGTAAAATTTTGTATGAGACACTGCCCTAGCAATGTATAAATATTGTACTTAGTAATATTTAATGCTAAATGGCTAAAAATCTATAATTTCCATAAAAATTGGCTCAGGAACTTTTGATAAAGTCACAATCTTGAAAATTATGAAAATTTCTATTACATCATTACCTTGTTACCATTGATAAAAGATTGTGCTAATTATTTACTGAACCATAAAAAAAAGGCCGAATATGTCACAGTTTTTAGTTATTAAGAGTTTGGAATTAAGTTTATTTATCTCGATATACTTACACTAATATTTTTTTGTGCACATTTGTTGTTAATTTTTTTTAGTAAAACGGAACATTTTCCTTGTGAAACAGACATAAAGTAAATTTTTATACTTTTATAATTTGATTATTTTAAGGGCAGTTTCTTAGCCATGTCCTTTATATTAAAGTTGCTACATTTACTAAACTTTTGTATGGGAGCTTTATATTGGTATCTTGATATCATGGGTAAAGGTGCTCAATGACTGCTTAAGAAGTTTATTTTATTTCTGGTGGTGTTATACGCCGTCACCAGTACATAGAAAAACACATTAAAAACTCAGTAAAAATGAAATCATGAGTGCTTAACTTTTTGTTCTTTGTTCAAAGTTAATTTAGAAAGAAACCCTTAAATTAAAAATAGATATTTTAATTTAAAATAGATTGCAAAGTCTGCTAAACCATACTCAACAGTTTTCAGAACATTAATAAAACCTTTTTCGAACCCGCTTAGTAATACAACAGTAATGAGGTCCTTTCTGCTTCATTTTGAAGACGAGAATAAAGCACTTTCCGAGCAGGTGTAGAATAAGTAAAAGTTATTTAAAGACACGACACTGGGTAGCATCGGTATCTCCAAATATGGTACGACAGGGTCATAACACGTATTTTTATTGAATTATTGGGTACTTCTTCATATTTTAACATAGTTTTATTTTTAGCATTAAACTGCTTGATTTTTATCGACATTAAGGTTAAGGTCGTCGCATTAAGATCTCGTTAGCATATCGGTTAGTGTATTTGCCCAGGCAGCGAAAGGATTTAAAATTAGAATACGAATTTCATATAAATTTAAAATCACATTGGCGAATATCGTAGTGAAAAGTGAGTGTGTTCTTACAGAATAGCACTGCGTGGAGTATTTTTTGTATCTTAAATAATATTGATATTAAATAACAGGGATATTGTAGGTATGTAAATTACGTGAACTATCGCAATGATTTTAGTTAAAATTATATTGATACCAATACTTATACTGACATTTCATTTAAATTCAATATGATTATGTGACGTGTAGTCTTTTTCCAGAACCATTTGGAAAGAAGTGATAGTCGCAACTTAAATGAAACTCATTTTTTTGATGTCCCCAATGTTATATAAGTAAATGAACCTGTTATTAAAGGTTATTTTGTATGTGGCTTTTTTGCCCGACGGATGGAATCTTCCAAATAAGACCTTCGCATCGTAACCAGTGTATGTAAACAGGAAAGCGCCTTGTTTTTGTAAATGTCAATTCTAGACTTCAAATTTATTTTAGTAACAGCTTAAAAAAACTGCAGTCGATTAAATTAAAGTCATCTGTACCCCTAGCACGATCCATTATCGAATTCGAATAGTTTGCAAACCGAAATGTCAATGTCAAATTTTGTATGGAAACTTGAACAGCAGCGGCACAGAGTACGTAACGAGATCTAAAAATCAGTACACATTTTCAATGGCATTTCGGACTCGCGAATACGATATTATAGTAATATAAGCTATTTACGGGATTGTTACCATGTACCTCGTTTTAAGCCAGTTTCCGATATTTCGGCACTGTTGCAAGCGCCATGATCACGGAGTAACTTTAGTAAGTAGTTACGCTAAAAACAAGGTACATGGTAACAATCCCGTAAATCGCTCTAATATTATAAAGGCGAAAGTTTGTGAGTGTGTGAGTATGTGAGTGTGTGAGTATGTGAGTGTGTATGTTTGTTACTTCTTCACGTCTAAACCGCTGGAGCGATTTTAATAAAATTTGGTGTGGAGTTAGCTGACACATAGGTGTCAATTCTGGCATGATTCTCTAAACCTAAACTTAAATTTGACAACAGTGTATCCTTGTCATTCTCTATACAGAATGAAAAGGAGAGATTGATGTTAAATTTAGTTTTAAGTTTAGAGAATCACGCCAGAATCGACACCATAGGCTACTTTTATCCCGAAAAAATGTTAGGTTCCAGAGGGATTTTCAAGAAACTAAGTTAACCCAGACGAAGTCGCGGGCGACCTCTAGTAACTTATATTACTATGATGTTAGTGACCATGAAAGTTAAAAAAAAATCGATATTGGTTCGTGCTAGGAGTACTGTATTACGTATGCTTTTTACCAAAAGAGCTATTTCTGTAAGAACAAACTCAGTTTGCACCTCGGAATCCGCCAATGTGATTTAAAAATTTTAATTTCAAATAAATTTCCACCACGTATTCCGAAGTGAATAGTGAGTTTGTTCTCACAGAATAGCACAGCTGGCTTGTGTCAGAGTGTTTTTTAAATATTTCTTTAATATCATTGTTTCGAATTGATATCTAAAACTTGTTTATATAGATTTTCTTTTATCAAACACTAGTGGCCCGCCTTCGCTTCGCTTCGGGGTAGAATTGATCAAAATCCTTTCTTAGCGGATGCCTACGTCATAACATCTACCTACATGCCAAATTTCAACCCGATCCGTCCAGTGGTTTGGGCTGTGCGTTGATAGATCACTGTCAGTCAGTTAACTTTGAGTTTTATATGTATATAGATATCGTAATGAAGTGCTTATCGTACTTTCGCGACGAAAAAGTTCAAAAGCTCGCTCCACCCAGATTTTCTCGAATACGGTTTCACAATATCATCTTCGCACGAAATTACTTGTCGAAGACTCTCTTCATGTGTTACAAAATGACGAAAATACTTTCGTTAAGATAATCACTTTCGCAACGGATCTTTCGTAAAAGTAAAATCGGCTTATGTCCTGTTAATAATCTGAGTGTCAGCTTTTATTATTTCATCATTAGCCTATTAATGTTCGTGCTTGGACACAGGCTTTCCCTATGGATGGAATAGGGAGATTGGGCTATGATCCACCACGCGGGCCTTTTGCGGATTGATGCTAACAACTGCAGATGCAGTCGGGACTTACGGCTGAAATACCTTCCAGGGCACGGAAAAGCTCGAGATAGTAAATTTCTGGTCACCCATCCAATGACCGATCACTGCGAAAGTTGCTTAACTTTAACTTTCGCAGCCGAATGCGCTAACCAGTTGCATCCTCGAGCTTTGTTCTCTCTTCATTGAATTACAGATTTAATGAACGTGATGTATACGTACAAAGAAATTGTGTGACTTTTTCAAGCTGATATTCCATTTACTAGAAGAGGATTATTATATGAATACATAGACTAGTTAATAAGTATAATTTATTAGTATTAATAGCGCTTTAGATTGCACAATTATTTTATGAGGACCAAACAATATGTTTATCGTCTCTGTTTATATCTTCCAAATGTCGAGGTTATACATATCTATTTTTAGTATCAAACCTACCTTTAATAATATATAATCGAGGTCCGATTAAAACTATTTATTGTTTCAATGTAATGCGTTTCTCAACATGTTGCTACAAAATAGTTAGCATTTTTTAATTTAAATAAAAGAACCGTTTAATTAACGTTAAACTAGTTTTAGGTAAGCTTTTATCGCTATGACCGTGATTTCAATTGCATATTATGGTAGTAAAAAAATTTTGGTAAATCGTTGTGGCAACTGTATATAATGCCCAGATTGGTATGACGCAATCGGTCAATAGCAGTTTAGGTATACTGAACCGATTCAGCGAATGCTACATTTAATCTACAATATATATCGCATAGGCTCTAACAGGTTATTGATAATGATAAGAAAATGTAATTGGCCAAAAGATCGTTGCTATTTTGCTAAGCGGATAGACTAGGATAAGGAAAATGGCAGAGGCTCTGTCTGAGCCTCTGCCATTTCAAGTCCAATATTGTATTTGGTACTTTTGTAAGGTTTAGTTTTATTAATACATACCTACGTCTTTATTATTGAATAATATTTTTATAACACTAAAAGAAACAAAAAATACATTTTCACGGTAGGGCTTGTTTTTGGTGCAAATAGTGATTACAAAAGTTATTTTAATACCAATGTTTAGTATTGAATATAAAATATAACTTTATGTTAGTTTTGTTGATGAAATTTGGGATAGACTTATTTTGAGTCTCGGGAAAGAACAAATGAGGAGCTGGCGAGCAAAACGGTATACTTTTTTTTACAGTCCAAAAGTTTCCCGCCCGTTGAATTTGAATCTCAAATAATTTTCAATCAAAACCGCCTGAAACAGTATTAAAATTATTAAAATTATAAATTAAAAACCATGCCAAAAGCTCACTGGAGGTTTTATAATGCTCCCGTAAAACTTAATTTTATGTAACTATACCGTATTGTTCGGCAGCTCCTCATATAGGACATAAGACTCTTTGATGAGTATATATATTATGACTTTCGGTATTACATTGGCTATACTTTATCATTAATTGTATCTTTTCTCAGTTTCAGCGCAAGAATACGAGTGTCCCGACAAAACCGGCTTCTTCCCGGATCCATACCAATGTGACCTTTATTACAAGTGCTCGAAAGGTTAGTATCGTTTTTGCGAGATTTGTGTATGACTAAGAAGCGAAGTGAAATCTGTTTACTTACACCACGAATATCTCTCGAAGAGTTACTTAATACAGGATCGGTCAAATTGTCCACTGGTGATTACTTCATTACATAATCATAATCATAATCAATCATAATCAAAATCTTTATTCAGTTTAGGCTGTTACAAGCACTCATGAATGTCTAGAAGCTACGCCATCGGTTCGTAAATCTACAATAAATCAGTATAAGTCTTTTAATGTTAAAAGGGTAGCAAATAGTGTTGCAAGGTCCGATTTGTTTTAAATCGGTACATGAGGTCAAAACAATCGGGATTTAGGGTTGCAGATCGGGACAGTAAACAAAAAACAAGGGGCTTATAAGTTTGGGTTTAATTTATTGCGTTTTAAAGTACTAGTGCAAGTATAGTATTATATTAATTACCTAAACTTATTTTTTGACCGATTAACCTATTAATCAAAAAAATAAGTTTAGGTAATTAATATAATACTATATATTTAGCGTCCCGATCAGGTACAAATCGGGACGCGTCCCCAGACTCCTTAAAATCGGGAAGTCTCGCGCAAATCAGGACACCTGGCAACACTAGTGGCAAAAACGCTTTGGTCCGCCTGATGGTAAGCGGTCACCATAGCCTATAGACGCTTGCGATACCAAAAATATCACTCGCGCCTACCCTGACCCCATCTCCTACCCCGTGGAGCTCTGGAAGTGGGGTTCCATGGGACTCCTTACTCACCGACAGAAACATAACACGACCAAAAGGTAGTGTTATTAGGCTAGTAGAACTAGCTGATGTCGCAAGCGTCTTTAAGCGGTGTGGTAGTCGCTTCTAATCAGAGTTCATTAATTCACTTAGAGATTTAAAAATCTCGGAAATTTGAAGCAATGCAATGTTCATGATGCCTCTGTTGTCACAGGCGTTCATAGGCAACGGACGATTAGCATCAGGCGGACCGTGAACTTGTTTGACTTCAAATTCAATAAAAAAATGTTTGAGCTAAAATTTCAGTTAGTTAATGCACATAATTAGAACAGAATTTTGTAATAGCTATTACGTCTTACCTATTTTACGTCAGAGAACAGTAAACATGGTGGAAATTCTTGAAATTAATTTCGTAGTAGCCACATAATTGGTTTCATTCTAAAAATGTGTTTTTTTTCCATGTTAGGTCACGGCAGTTACAATAGCAAATAGAGTGTGAAAATTCTCAGCTTTTACCGAACCTTCAATGTAGGTGAATATTTTGTTTAGTTGCAAATCAGTCCGCTCGGCCCATTGTGACCAAGAACCGTAAAAAGGTAGATAAATTACGCTACATTATGTCTAATTAGTCCTAATTGACTGTTAAGTGTATGAAAGTGGTTTATAATTATGATGCTTTATTTGAAAGTTAAGTTTTATTAAACAAGACTTGTTTATCGATAGAAAATTGCTAATTGTAGAAAATAGAAAAGGTTATTATTATGAGTCAAAGCAGGTATGATATTAAAATTTCGAATTTAAATGGGTTGATTTTAACACATTTTTACCTGTACAATGTATAGAAATAAAGCTTAATCGTAGTCAATTTGTGTCTTACGAAACATACAGTAGTATGTAAACAGAGTTCCATTAAAAGAGAATGTAGTTTCAAATGTGACATGAATGTTTATTGAGAAAAATTTCTACTTTTCCACGTATTTAACGTTATATTGCAAAATCTAAGCGTTGTATAACTTGTTGATGTCTGGTGTGAAACGTCATCAAATATTTAAATAAACATCTTTAGGCTAATGCTAAACCACGGTAAAATAACATTACCTTTTGGTGGTGTTGTGTTTGTGCTGGTGAGTAGGGTTCCAGTAGGCCTATTAGCTAACTGCTTTTGATAGATGGAAGTGATCACTATCCTATATGGTACAGGGTTAGGTTAGGTTAGGTTATGTAGGTAGGTAATTAACGCCCGTAGGGCGATCGAGCTGGGATGCGCGCTGGGCGCGCGTAGAAAAAAAAATTAAAGAGGTTGAGGACGAGTTGGGAATTTTCTGAGGCGCGCGAAAGTGGATCAGTGGATCGCGCGAAAAAAAAATTTTTGGATTTGGGCTGGCCGCTGGCCGAGTGGCCGATTTGGGCATTTGGGTGGATTCGTACAGAGTGGTGAAAAATAGGAACAAAGAGCCGGTACAGGGTGCAGAGCAATTTGTATTTCGGGTAGCAACAGTCGAAAAAGGGCACAAAGGGTAGGTTTTCGCGGGTTTTTTTCGATGAACAGGTGATGAAGGTTGGGTGGGGGTTAGGGGATAGGAGATACTACTGAGACTCATGACCTCGTTAGTGATGGAATACACCTGTGACTAAATTTATTTATATGTTAACTGATATAGGAAAATATATTATAAAAAGGTAATCTAACCTTTTTCATCTGATTTAAATGTAGGAGCTTTTGTTTCATAACATGGCAGCTCCATCAAAACTTTAACAAAACTCCACAAAAATCTTACTTAATATTTCTCATAAACTTTTTTATGGTACCTATTAGACAAAGTAAATAACTACACTAATCAAACGTAAATCTCTTACAAAGCATTCTTATTTAGCCTGGAAGAATTGAAAAAGTGAACTTCTTAAATTCTTTTTTCACGACAAAAATATTATAGCAGCGATAACTACTAGGAATGGAACAAGTGAATTAAGTGACTTATAGAATTTATTTTATTTAGAAGTAGCACTTGACTAAAGTTAGGTAATCAATTCATTAGTTAATAATTTTTCGCTTGCAATTTCTTTTTACTAACAGTGTTATAATTTATGGTCAACTTTTTCTTCAATTAAACTTATTTAAGCAAATATAGCACATATGATGAATAATTAAAAATGAGTTTTCGAAAATTTGCAGTTACTAAGTCTTCCAATATGACGACGATATATTCTTTTGACAATAGAATTCTCATCAGTTTCTTAGTAGTTGTAGACTGATTCATACTATCAAAAGTATAAAATAGCTCAGAAGCTAGCGTTTCCAAATGAGATCTGCGAGTAAAAGTCATAATGACTAATTACCGTAACTCGTAATCATCAGGCCAGGCGGAACCGAAGCTGTGCCCCGATGGGCTCGTGTTCGTTGACGAGAACCCCAACAAGGAGAAGTGTGACATCCCTTCTAACGTGGACTGCGGCGACAGGAAAGAATTACGTAAGTTCTCGATTATTTAAGTTTTCATGGAAAATAAACTTTAGTAGTTTTAAATCATGTTTAGGCAATTTTTTTATGTTAGTTTTTCTTAAATTCCTGGTTGATACCGTATGTTGTAATATAATAATTATTATTATAATAAATAAGTGAAATTGCTTATCCGACTGCGGCAGTCGTAAGCATAGCACTAATATGCTCTGTGGGCTCTCGTAGTAGGTCATGTCCCAATCTCCCTATCTAATCCATGGGGAAGACCTGTGCTATAGCAGTTGGGATATCAATAAGTTGATGATGATTACAAATTTTTAACTCACAGCTACCAATCATTCATTGACCTATTTACTTTAATTATATTTGTACACATTATTTATGTTTCAAATAAAAACCAGTTACCTTTTGATATTCAAATAGTAAGCAGATTAACGGGAACCCAAAAAACACTAATTCCACGCGGACGAAATTGCAGGCATCCAATAGTCATATAATAAGTTCACATAATTTTTAGTTATATTTTTATTGTTTAAGCATTTAACTGCTAATGATTCAATATCTAAAGAGAATTTGCTCAATAATTATAAGTTTCTCTTACATCCACAACTATATCGTCAATTTCTTATTTTTCAAATTGCAGAAGAGCCAAAGCCTTCCAAAGGCTGCCCAAGACAAAACGGTTATTTCAGACATCCTGACCCACAGGTAAGACAGTAACAAATATTATTATTGAAATGCTTAATTTTACTAGAAGAAACTGATTTTGCTATGTGGCCGTGGCGCTCGGGTCGAATCCATCCAGAAGCCTGGGCCGAGAATATCATTAAAATTTCCTTTTAAGACGTAGATAGTCACATTAATTTGTTACACTGATGGTCACTTTCATGGTCCGACATTTGTGGTTATGACTTAGTAAAGTTTAATTGCAAATAAGGATTAGGTATCTTGTGAATAAAAGGCAACCGTTACTGACTGAGGGGTCTATCAACGCACAGTTTAAGCCACTGATCGATTGCACTGAAACTTTGCACACATATAGCTATTATGATGAAGAAAGAATTTCCAAAACTCACCCCCTAAAGGGGTAAAACGGGGTTCAATGTTTATATGAGAAACTAACTTTTTATTATAATAAAACAAATTGCAGGCTTGCGACAAATTCTACTACTGCTCCGACGGCGTACCCAACGAACTGCCCTGCCCACCTGGCCTGTACTTCGACGATGTGACTTCCAACTGCGACTGGAAAGATGTCGTCAACCGCCACTGTGACCAGATCACCAAAGGTGAGTTTGTTCGTAATTGACGGCAATCCTGATTATTCTGGATTCTATCTGTAAGGCTAAGAACTCACAACGCAATTTTCTCCAGCGACCGCTGCGGTTGCGGAATCGCAATTCTCGTAGAATGTCAAATATACGTAATACGCAAAAGAAAAAATTAAGGGTGTGATTTGCGCCCGCAGAACGCGCGGGCGTTTACGATTTTCATGCGGGTGACCAAAAGATACGTTCTGAATTTAAAGCTTGCCGGCCCGCAGAAAACTGTGGTCTCGTGAGTTTTGAAAAAAAACAGCTTTCCACTGGCGCGACAGGCCCGGAAAAAATGTCGACATGAGTTCTTAGTCAAAATAGTGGCATGGAAGCAGTTTTATCTGCCACCATTGCACCATTGGTCTGAACTCCACCGTTACATGAAATCAAGGGGTGTGGACTAATTTGTTTTAATCTATTTTATATATTAAGAAGGCAACCAGGGTCAGTTTACTCCCGCTGTTCATATTACAGTGAGGACGCTCTGGGTATTATGTCATTTTTGATTGAATACCGACAACCTGATAATGCCAGTGGCATAATTATCTAATCAACGCAGATACAGCTGGGTGGCACCTTTAGGTAAAAAAAAAACCTACCCGCAGAAGGCAATAGACAAAGTTTGTCAAAATATGCAAAAAAAAAATTTGGATTTCCAATCCAATCTGGTAGTTTCTAATGTATTTTTCCAATTTTTTTTTCATATTTCCTTTAATTAATACCTATAACAAAAAAGTGTACATAATAAACAAACCTAAAGTTGAATCAGAGAATTGTAATATGAGGATTATTTTATCAATCCACAGACGTTCTGGACGATGGTTTCACATGCCCCGACGGTGAAGTAATGGGGCCCAACGGTCGTGCCCTGCCACACCCCACCTTCCCTCACCCCGAGGACTGCCAAAAGTTCTACATCTGCCGCAACGGTGTGCAGCCCCAGAAGGGAAGCTGTCCCTCAGGCAAGGTCTACAACGAAGACACGTTTATGTGCGACGAGCCCGAGAAAGTACAAGGATGGTTAGTATCTTACTGCTACTAGTATTATAAGGTGATAGGCCCAATGGTTGCGCCCTGGCGCACCCCACCTCCCCTCACCCCAAGGACTGCTAGAAATTCTACATCTGCCGAAACGGAGTGCAGCTTCAGAAGGGAAGCTGTCCCTCAGGCAAGATCTAAAACGAAGACACGTTTGCGTGCGAGAAGCCCGAGAAAGTACATGGATGATTAGTATTATCATAACCCTACTTCCTGCTTTATAGGGTTTATCTTTCTAGTTATACTGTTAGTTCGCCTGCCATAACGATGTGCAGTACTGGAAGGGTAGGTGTCCTTCAGGCAAGGTCTGTAGCGAAGACACGGTTATGTGCGACAGGCCTGAAAAAGTGCCTTAATAATTAGTGTCCTACGAGTACTCCTACTAGTATTAAAAGGTGATGGGGCTCAACGATCGCGCCCTGGCGCACCCCATCTGTCTGTCAGAAGTTCCATATCTGCCGCAACGGCGTGCAACCTCAGAAGGGAAGCTGTCTCTCGGACAAGGTCTACAACAAAAATACGTTTATATACGACGAGCCCGAGAAAGTACAAGGATGGTTAGTATTGTACTCCTACTAGTAATATAAAGTAATGGGGCCCAATGGTCGCGCCCTGACGCATTCCACCTTCTCTCTCCCCGAGGATTGCAAGAAGTTCTACATCTGCCGCAACGGGGTGTGTAGTTCTGAAAGGGCCTTGCCCTTCAAGGAAAGGTCTACAACGAAGACACGTTTATATGCGACAGGCCCGAAAAAGTACCTGGCTGAATATCAGAAAATGTGATGAGTTTGTAAGTTTTAATGTTAGTTACTCTATATCAATAAAACGACGGAATTGGTTCGGCACATATATAGTTTATTATCTGGGTTGAGACATTTAGATACTTTTCATCTCGGAAAAATGTCTATATTGATATGTTTGAGATTTGATGAAGATGATATTTTGTGTATTGCAAGCGTCTACAGGCTATGATAGCCGCTGATCATCAGGCGGGCCATATACATGTTTGCTACCCTTTTGTCATAAAAAAAGATACGAGTAGAGCATACAGAAGCCAACGGTGACATATTTTTAGTGGTGTTATATTTCTAGATACGGGTATGGTTTCTAGGACCCCACAGCGTAGGGGATGATCAGTATAGTCAATGTGCGAGTAACACCCTAATATCATAGGCGTCTACTATGGTGTCATCATCACCAGCCCATTAATGTTCCCACTGCTGAAGCACAGGCTTTCGCTATGGGTGGAATTGGGATCACGCAGGTTTCAGTGCGGATTGGTGGGTGCTTACGAGTGTTGATGCAGCCGGTACCAACGGCTTAACGTGCCTTCCGCAGCATGGAGGAGATGAGTATCACGGGATGATAAGTTTTTGGTCACCCATCCAATTACCGATCATTGCGAAAGTTACTTAATTTCCACAATGACGGACCAAACGTGCTACCCACCTGCGTAGACATGGGCGTTTTTGGTTTTGAACGCAAACGGATATTTATCGGATTTCAGATTTCAAAATCGATTTTAAAATCCGTTTTTAGATATCCGATTTCAGATGTGCCGAACTTAGCCAATTCACTAGTTTGTGTTATGATTTGGTTTTATTAGCTAACGACAATCACAAACAATTAATTGTACGAAGCAAGGATACTCGTAGATTTGCGCGATTTTCCTTTATGCTTTAAATCGAGGCTTAGGCAAGAGTATATATTCTGTGGCTTAGGACTAGCAGAAAAGTTATCTTTACGGTTAAAAGTAAAACTTTTGCGGCGCATTTAAAAATCGGCTTATATACAATGATTTCCTTTTACATATTTTTTAAGTATTTTTTTTTTGTTTTTATTATTTTTCAAACCATTTACAAAATCAAACCTAATTACTTCAGGTTAGCGTTCAAAAAATGTCGGTTGCTCGACTTTTGATGTTTTTAGACGACATCTTTTTCAGTAATAAATAATCCCGCCTTAGAGAAGAACAATAGATTTCCGTAAACAGCAAACCGAAATCGGACTTCCGAAAACGAAAGCACGAATTTCGAATCCGATTTACATTTGGATACTTGTGGTGGTATTAGATCGCTAGCGTTTTGGTTCGGTTAGATTTCTGAAATCGGATTTTCTTGTTGAGAAATCGTTCGGTATCGATTTGTGTTTGAAATCGGATTTTGGATTCGTTTTGATATATCGGACACATGCCTACACCTGCGCCATAGAGCTCTCTTCAAAGAACTTTAGTATAACCTGCTGACTTTATAGTGTAAGCCTATGCTGACACTAAAAAGTAAGCATCTGAATATCTAAAATATTTTAAAATAAATTAATTTTTATTTTCTTTACAGTGAAAACTACTATGAGGGCCAGCCGCTTGAGAAGAACAAATTCCCGAAGAAAGCGTGAAGTGCATAAATTATTATAAGTCAATGTAATGTAAGATTATCGTATTTTGTAATTTAATAAATAATAACAATTGGATGTTCAAATTTTTAATTCGCCTACTAATTAATTTAATAGAAGTAGAAGAAAATTTTAAGAAAATCTTGGCTTTAAATCGCTCATATCATCAGCCTAATAATGTCCTATTAACTGTGGTAATCGGCCTCCCCTAAAGAAAGAATAGGAAAATCAGGACATTACGTACTACAAGGGGACAGTATAGATTTTTGGGTTTTACAACTCCATATGTTCTAGGACTAAAGGTCTCAGCCCACTTACACTACTCCACTACTACCCGGCAAAAAAATAAACCTAATTTAAATATGGGCCATAAGTATTGCTCTTTAGATATACTTTACATTGGCAACACAAATTAACGGACAGCTCGCTGTCATCGAGCTAAGCACCGTCATGGCTCAATTACAATTTTGTCGTTAGCCCGTATTCGGGTACGCGAAAGGAACCCGAAGCAATATTTATACTGGAATAAGGGCTGGAAGAGGAGCTCGATGGCGCAAGTGGTTAGCGCGTTCGGCTGCGATCGTTGAACTTAAGCAACTTTCGCAGTGGTCGGTCATTGGATGGGTGACCATAAATTACTATCTCGAGCTCCTCCGTGCTTCGGAAGGCACGTTAAGCCGTTGGTCCCGGCTGCATCTGCAGTCGTTAGCACCCACCAATCCGCACTGGGCCCGCGTGGTGGGTCATGGCCCAATCTCCCTTTTCCATCCATAGGGAAGGCCTGTGCCCCAACAGTGGGGACATTAATAGGCTGATGATGATGATAATGATGAAGGGCTGGAAGACGGTGTCGGGTAACCAAAATGAAAACTACCCGAATGCGGGCGTACACGACTCCGTATATTTACACTTAGTCGTTTACCCGAATTCCATTGAAACTCGTATTCGGGCTAATGACCATGGTAATCGCGCCATTAGACTGCTCAGTCGGTGCGTGAACAGCTAGGTGCCTGGTAGCTGTCACTGCGGAGACTGTGAGCAGTTACTTTAGTTAAGGGTGGTGTTAGAGTAGAGTCGCGTAAGACCTTTACTCCGAAGCACGGGGAATCATTATTACAGTAAAACTTGAAAAATAAAGAAATTAGAGATTATCGCATAAGAAATGACAATGTGCTGCTACATTCTGTCAATGGGTAATATATATAGACATAATATTACGTTCTCCTATATCTATTTAATGATATTATTCCCTAATAAGGAGCTCAATGACGTAGTGTTGGCACGTTCGTTCAGCGATCATGAAAATTAAGCAACTTTCACAATGGTTGGGCATTGGATGGGTGACCAAAAACTTATTATCTCCAGCTCCTCCGTACTTCAAAAGACACGTTGTGAGCACCCACCAATCTGTACTGGGCTCGCGTGGTGGATCATGGTCCTTTCTCCCTATTCCATCTATAGGGCTTGGGATGATGATGTTTTCCTAATGGGACAAACAATATACAATTACTATTTATTTAAATCGTTAGATACGCCCTTACCATAGTTTGACCGCGCTGAAATCTGTCTATACTCGAATGAGTGACTTCACACAACACTAATCAGTAGCCTTAGCATGTACCAATATCGAATTCGAATAGTTTGCGAGTCTAAAATGTCATTGTCAGATGTGTACTGATTTTTAGTTTTCGTTGCGTCCTTTGTGCTGTTCAAGTTTCCATACAAAATTTGACATTGACATTTCGCACTCGCAAACTATTTGAATTCGATAATAGGGGTACAGTGCTCATCTGTTCAGAAAGACAGTTCGACGTTACTGGCAATCAAATATGTGTGTTTTTTATGCGAGAAAAGTATCTCTAAATGCACTCATAGTGTCATTGCAAGATATCACCACAGTTCTTCGGTGACAGGGCTGTCTAAAGATAACGAAGTGTCTAGCGATTTATATCCTTGACAATTACTAATTGAAATTGTTCTCAAACCTTGTTACAACCGTAGATTTTTTTAACCTTGCAACGAGTAATAAATGGCCCTATGCTGATTATTTAGGCTTCAGTCCACCGAGCATCTACAATCATACTGTGACTAATATGATTGTTAATTAAAGGAACTCATTAGAAATATTTGTTCCATTTAGGCAAGTCGTTGTCATTATTAATAAAGAGACAAAGGCAAAACTTGAGCTTGGCTAAAAAAAATCCCAATCGTATTAAAACTAGAGGCCTTACTGTAACGTTCATCAGCAAGGGCTCACCGAGGTCAGAAAAAAACTATTGTTCTTACATAAAGTTTTAAGCATGAATGAAATTCGTGATAATTTTTTCATGAGACTTAGGAATAACCTCATCGTTGTCCTAGGGTTTAGATAGTAGCATGGCCTCCATCATGCTCCGCAGCGAGAGGGCGTGGGAGGCGGCTGAGAGGGAGCGGGAGGACGCGGAAGAATCCCTAAACGGGGATCCCGCGGCTTCGCGCAAAGCAGCTTAGAGGGTATTCGCAGGCCTTTTTTAGCGGATATTATGTCGTAAAGCGCCCGTAAGAGTTACGGGGTCCTCGGTGGGCAGCCACTGGGGGTTGGTAAGACTTGCAGGAGCGAGGTGTGAGGTCCGTTCGGCGGTGTGCTTCTTAAAGACGCCGTCGTCTGTAAACAGCATTTTTTACCTGCGTAATAAAAAAAAGGGTTTACATAGTAGCTTAACGAGACAAACTAGATGACCTTGCTTTGCTGGCATCTAAGATGCTCCTTCGAGTCTCTTTAAAAGGTTCCCAAGTTGTAGGAAAGGTGTATCATCTGTGCGGACTTTTAATAGGATGATGACTAACTTTTTCTCCTCGTCTATCAGATAGATTTAGCAAAAAGTATTAAACACGTATTTTTCACGTTTTGGTACAAGTTTTACTTTGATGTGACATCACGAGCTCCTATTACCAAACTTTGAAGCGCCTTGTCTTTGTTTTTTTTTTGGTTGAATGACAAAAGAAAAAATAAGTGTCTATTTTTTTATAATCTGACAGACTAAATAGAATTTCGTTTAATTTACCTCGTCATCAGTCCTATTCCATTTATGAATTTAATAATGTTTTTAGATAAATATAAAAGGCACATCAAATTACCAAACTTCCTGTGAAGTGCAAATGGAGTTAGGTCGCGAAAATAATGCGTATTTCTACACCCCTGTGGAACTTTACTCACCAACAGAAACATAATACCATTATAAGGTAATGTTATTTAACAAGTTATGAATTTCTGTAAAAGGGGGTTATTTTCCTAGCACGCTTCCATCGAAGAGGAAAATCCGCAATGCACTACCTATATTAAATGCTCCCGTAGGTAAACTGCAAATGGCATTAAGTATCAATATTATTATGAAAACTGTCAGTTTTGATTGAGCTTTGAACTACTTACCGTAATTAACTTAATTATTACGATTAAAGTTTGCGAAAAGCTCGTATCCAGTTTATAAAGGTCATCTTATGAGACACTTACAGACAAGAACTGCCCTAGGTTATGCAAGCTTGACGTAATCAAACACGGCTGACTAGTTCAACATACAATGGTTATTCAAGACAAAGTTTCGACGCGATGTCAATCAAGCCTTTGTTAATGTCCAATTGTCCATGGATTGTTAAACTTGCTCTACCATTGATTAGGAAATGTAGGTACTTGATCTTAATGCCAGATGTAAGGTGCCAAAATGAAGATTAAGCTATTCTGATGCAATCTATCTACAATATATTTATAGAAGTCAAAAAGTAGACTTGCCAAGGTTGAAGAGTTGAACCATTTTTCCAAATTGTATTTAAATTTAGCGCAAACAAAATTCAATTCAATCATCAGTTATGATTGGCGTCACGCATGTGACCAATGAATGATATATTGTTATTCATTGGTCACGCATGTAAAATATAATTTGTATTAATAATTCTTATCGATAACTTCTGTACTATATGATGTGATCTTTGTAAAATGGTAGTTATGAAAATATACGCTTCAATAGTAATATTTTTTCAATTAATTATAAAATATGGCGCAGTTGTTGGTCACTGTCTAAAGTGAATTTTGAAGAACAAAGTAAGTTTTAAATATGGAGAGTATCGTCAAGCTTCTACCAAACATTGATTTGAGGTCAGGAGGCAGGAGGACTGCCACTGAGTGAGTGGCCATTTTGGAAATGCATGTTCGAAGACGATTTAGTTGCAACCGCGTAGGACAATGCAGACGAGAGAATAAAACTGTCGCTGCTGTGAAATATGATGGGACCCGAATCGACAAAAAATATTCTTAGTCTCAAGCTTACCAAAGTAGAATCATAATCTTATATTATAACATGTAACGGTGCACAGCATCTGTGAGAGAGTGCGTCGACTTCCGATCTAGCGACTTCCGTTAATTTTAGTTACCGCTGTTGTGGTTGCTATGGTAACTTCCTTTAAATTAATACTTTAAAAGACTTACTTTCGTTTGGCGCCATTTTTAGTCACTTTAGGAGTTGTTGGCGCGCAGTGTCAGCATAGTATCGTCAACTTTCTTTTGACTCTTTTGTTTTAGTGGCTGTAGATGAAGGTTCTGGCTTCGCAAACAAAGTTTATATATTTGCAAACAAATTAGTATATATTATTTCAAAGAAATTTCGTTTAATATCTCATTTCTAAATCCCAATATTCCTTCAGAGTCAAGATTGGATGGTGAAAGTATTATATATTCATCAACTTATTTTCGCGTACCTATCACCAGTTGCCACTGACAGTTCTTGCGGCTAATTTATTAGGGGAAAGTGTACCAGATGACCAGTCTCCCCTTCGGGTTGTCATATGCACCAAAGAACTTCGCAACTGGGTAGGTCATCTGCTGTGGAGAAAAGGTATGAGAATCCTGGTTTACCTAGACGATTGGATCATCAATCGCGAGAAATCTGTATTGACGCCGAGTCAAGAGCAGGAATACCCAGGTATTACATGAAACACAGTCAAAAACTTCAAAGCTCTCCCTCAATCCAAGGTAAAATCAATTAAGACTATGATAAACAACATGTGCAAGGTACCAACTACGACACTGAAGGAATGTCAACAACTATTGGGGACTCTCAATTTTGCCAGGTTCACAAAACCTGGAGGAAGACTGCATTGCTGGCACCTACAGAGGTATTGTCAGAAGCTCCTGACTTAGTCACCAGGCCAGTCAAAAGCTATGACACCAGAATTAAGATCAGACATGAATTGGTGGATGTCAATCATAAAAGAAGGTCACACAAGCATTCCCTTACACGAAATCCGTGTTCAACATTTCTTGATAACATGCTGCGGATTACGGTTGGGGACTTTTTGTTGGGGGCTCAGCTAGACGATCACTCGATAGCAGGCAAGTGGAACCAAAATCAAACCCGTTGGCATTGCAACTTAAAGGAGATGTTTGCGATAATTTCCGCAGTGAAATTCTTTAAACACTTACCGAAGTGTCGACATGTGATTCTCCAATCGGACAATCTAACCGTAATTTGAAACGAGGGAGGGACGCATTCAGAAGCATTTCTGGATTTGGCACACAAACTATTTCAAACACTAGACCGATTGAAAATAACATTCACGGCAGCATACCCGGACGATACAATCAGATTGCAGACAGTCTATCCATGGTCAAGAAATCGGTAGAATGGCACCTTCTACGGGAAGCATTAGGAACGATCTTTTAGAGGTTTGGCACTCCATAGGCAGATCTCTTTGCGTCAAAGGTTTCGAAGGTAGTATTAATTGCATAAGTCCGTTATTTTAAGTCTAAGAGGAACCAAATTTAGTTTTTTTGGTAAAACATTGAGCATAATAGCTCAAAGCTATTTCCTTGCAACAGCCTCTTAAAGAAAAGACCCTCATTTCGAATCCATCTGATCTAATGTCATGGTTAATTTTTAATTTACCTTTCAGCATTTAAAGTTTCTCGTAGACTAGCTTTTATACAGCTTTTGGCATCTGGTAGAAGAGACCATGATTGAACATTGCTAAAATTAACTCATAAACTCTTCAAGGACATAGGGGACAATATAATAATATGGCCTAAATTTGGTTCTAAAACCGAGATCACACACTATAGACAGTCGGGTTGGAATATGATAACTAACACAAACAAAAATATTTGTGTGTTTCGGTTGCGCAGTTTCAGAACTAGGTGAGCAGAGAGGAACAGCGGAGTGTAACAACGCCTTATTTATTTGAATCACTGGCGAAAGCAAAGCAGCCACTAGAACCCTTATAGCTAACTGGATAAGAGCTGTGTTTAAGGATTCTGGCATCAAAGCATCCCCAGGTAGTGTTCGTTCCACTGTAGCTTCGTTCATTGTGGAGCAGTGGAAAAATTTACCCATTGATGATATTTTTTTACGGGGTAATTGGCGAAGTGAAAATACTTTTGCTAAATTTTCTTTTAGACAAATTAAAAGTTCTAATTTGGATAATAAAAGTAATGCCTGAATTAAAAACTTCGAACCGATATAATGAAAATCTCAGTCAGATCTCAGATCCAGGTGATCATAGTGTTTTGATTTCTATATGTAGGTACTTCTACGGCTTACTGTTACTACTGCTATCAAACAGAACAATGTTAATAATACCATTATTTTAAGATTCTATATCAATGTGACATTAATACTCTATAAAAAACTTTCGCTAGATGAAAATCGATAAAATTTTCATAGAATATTTAAAACAAATATTTTCTTCAGATTTAAACAAATATTTAGCTGGAATGAGGGTAATGAAAATGTGGCATGGCAGAATTTATATGTTTTAAAACAACTAACCACCATTCCACTGAGGTCTGAGGGAGTGGGGGGCACTTACAAGGGAAAAGGTTTTCATAATTTTTTTGCTCTTGGATTGGTTTTATAACTTGAAAGCGAGAGATTAGGGGAGTGCGAGCAAACTAAGTGTGAGAGAACACCTTACACTTAACTTATTTTTTGTGTGTTATCAAGGTACATTGTTTATTTTATGTAGATTCTTACGAGTAAATCGTACTTTAGAAACACTTAGAAAATAACTGCTCCGCTATTGCTAATTGTCATACAAGGCACACCCGCCGCGATCGTTTTCGTAATAAGTGGCCGTTTGAACCTAGCACCAGCATAGCCACAACGCTATTCATAGTCTAGACCTAGTGTTAAAAGCTCAAACATTACCAATTATTATTATTTTATTCAAAATCAGCGCAAAGATACACTGATTAATTAGTTACTGGGATTAACAGTTATAATTCCGTTAGGCTCTTATGGCGCGATTACACTTGGCCGTTCTCCAGAATACGAATGCCCGAATTATCTTTAAAATTTTACTAAAGTTTATAATGTCACTTTCTTTGAGATAACAGTATGATTTTGCCTTTAAATGTGCGGCCGTTATTAATATACATTGTGTAACATTAAGTGTTTGGTGTCCGTCGACTTAGATTATATCTTTTGAACGATATCAACAAAACACAGAGTATTATTACTCCTGCTGCCTTCCTTCTATCTAGGGTTTAAGTTTGTTAGTGTAGTGACTTTTTAACGACAGTATTATTACACTATGAAATTTAGCTAAGCTTCTATTATATTAGGCTTCAGCCGGCGCACTAACTGAGTGGATTAATACGTATAATATGAAACATCATAGATAATGGCATGATACTGGAACATTTAAACTACTACGCGCGGACCATGCATCCAGATTCCAAACCACATGGTATACATCTGTGCGGATTCCGCTATGTGTGAACTAGCTCTAAGGTTTAAAATGAAAAGAACGCAATGTAAAACAATACATTGCCTTCTTTTATCACCGATACAATATTATGATCACACAGAAATAAGCAGATAAAGAGAAGTGTATGAATAAATTTTGGCTATTTAGCCATTTAACTGTATTAATTCAGAAGAGATTGTCTTATAAAAATGACCAATAATAATCAATGCTCAAGAAGAATAGACACGTTTTTTTTTTGTTGTCCCATCTTTCCCATTTACTTAAAAAAAAAATATGAACGTCATCATAATATTTAGTGCCAGTGTTTGTACCAGGTATGATATAATTTGAACTCCGAACACGTCCAGCCCCTACTATGAGTGCGGCGGAGACGACAGCGGCCGCCGCGACGCCAGCCAGCGCGGGCGCCCCAGTGCCGCCGCTAAGTCGACCACGCGTACACGTTTGACAGACATGAACAGTGCAACGTTTGTGATTTTTGCCGCCTGCGCTGCATTCGGTAAGCGGGAAATCTGTAGACAAATACTTTTTTGTGCAAATAAGTTATTCTTAATTTTACTAATTTTTAAAGTAGGCATTCATTTTGGAGAATCCGAATTGATTTTCATACAGATAAGTAAGATTTTTTTGTTGTCTTGTGTGGGTAATATTTGAATTTTATAAGAGTAGGACCTTGAAAGTCGAGTTGCATAAAAGCTTTTAATCTTGTTACCTAATTAAATAAAGAACAGTTTAGGAAACAACTTTTGTCCTTCCATGTTTGACATACTCGTAGGTACAGAATAATTCCAATCGTAGTTATAAATGCATCCCCAATACTACCTAACTTCTCTTCGTAATAAAAAATATTTTGGAAAACCAAAAAGCACCGTTGTTATTAACAACCGCGAATAAAACGTTAGAATAGGTTTGACCCACAAATCCAACAATGTTACATAGAGTACGTTTACGTAAGAAGAATTTGCTAGATTTTCATGAAATGGGATTAATTGCGTGTTAAAACTGTGTGCGAATTAGCTAACAGTTCGTTACTATGTCTAAGCGGGTTGTTGTATCATTCGAGTACCTATATTTTGTAGATATCAGAGTATTCATTAATGGCATATAGGTATTACTTGTTAATCAGGTTTGCAGGGAAACGAGAACTCGCGAAACAATAAATTGAGAAAAATCAAACAGCCTTAGATATCATTAATATTAATAGTGATAAAAATTGTATAGCAGTTGAAGTTGTTTACTAATAGTGTAGTGTTATCAGTTGTGTTTCTAATGGACAAAATGTGACATATTATCATAATAAGAGGTTTACTGATAAGAAGTCATAGAAGTTATAACGCGTTCGCTATTTCCACTCGAACCTCCTTCTGAGAAGGACCCCACAGGAGCAAATAAAAGAAATCTTTGCTATTATAGGTAGATTGCCAAAAAATACTTTGATTGATACTTTATTTTTAACCTAGAATATTTGTATACCTATTTATAGGTATAGTCTATTTATGTATTACTTATTTAGAGTTAAGGTTAATTCCTCCTGTCTCATGTTACGTTTTTCATCTTGCGTATGATAGTGATGAATTCACAGTGATGCTTATCAGAAAATAAGTAAATAGATTTTTGGGTGAAAGGTCTGTAATTTTTAAAGCGTCTGTTTTGCAATTATTGCCTGATAGCATCAGGTATATTATACTATTTTATACAAAAACTAATTAAATTTTGTATTTAAACAAATCGTACAATATGTTTGAAAATAAAATTTGAAGGATTTTACCATTCGCGTTCCGCGGCAACCAATCGCGCAATACTCAACTCAACGTTTAGTCGAGTAGAATAATAATCGGATAAATCACGATATCGATTATTGTGCGGCCTTTCGGTGGTAATTATCGAATATGGAGCTATTTCCCTCGGCCGGCAGGCAGCAGTTGCCCAACGGATTGGAAAGGTGCCGGAATTTGAACGACTCAAGGCCCGGTACCGTGCCCTGTGCGATATTTAAAGCAAAAAAAAACAATTGCACCGATTTATGATATCACTAGCGGCCGCCCGCGACTTCATCTGCGTTAACTTTAGCATTTTTTGGGTATAAAAAGTATATTTTTACTCAATCCAGGTAATAAACTATACGTGTACCGAGTTATATCCAAATCCGTTTACCTAGCCGTTTTTGCGTGATTGAGTTACAAACATAAAAATTTTGATATTAACAATATTAGTACAGATCGCGGCAGGTAACTCTAGCGCTGAATAAAACGCGGTGGGGATAACTGCGCATGGGTACGACTGCCCGCGCACCTCGTTTCCCCCCAAGACATCTTAATTTTTACTTCTGCGCAATAACGGCCAGCTCTAGAGTTTCGTGCCGCGATTTATACGATATAATTTATTAAATAGGTATAAGATCATATCCTACTAATATTGTTAATGTTGTTACAACGTTCATCTATTTTTTGAATCCCTTAGTTCCTATGAATTGGTCAATGTCGTTAATCTACCTTGGGGGTCCAACCCAACCTGTACCAGCACTGTGCTTTCCGGTGCATGCTCAAGTTCATTGAAGGAAAACTTTTTTTTATACGAAGTGCAACAAATTACGCTACTCTATGTTAACATCATGTGGAGTAGCGTAATGTTAAACTGGACCCCACTAACACTTAAGTGTTAGTGGGGTCCAGTCGCGAAGATTAATGATACGGCAAAAGACATGCAGCTCAAACCATCGCCACCTTTGTTACCTTTAATCTACATAATATTATTATCAAAGTCTTAAGTTTATGAATTATATTTTCTGTCTCATTGTATCTCTGCTCTCTCTCGCTCTACGAGGAGCTCGATGGCGCAAGTGGTTAGCGCGTTCAACTGCGATCGTTGAAGTAAAGCAATTTTCGTAGTGCCCGGTCATTGGATAGGTAACCAAAAATGTTTTATCTCGTGCTTCTCCTTACTACGGAAGGCGCATTAAATCGTTGGTTCCGGCTGCTCCTGCAGTCGTTAGCACCCACCAATCCGCACTGGGCCCGCGTGGTGGGTCATGGCCTAGTCTCCCTCTTCCATCCATAAGGAAGGCCTTTGCCCCAGCAGTGGGGACCTTAATAGGCTCGTGATGATGATGATATGATGATGCATCTCTGCTAACCTCGCTTGCCTGCCAAACATGAGCACCGCAATATGATAAATAAATAGTTTTCATCACGTTGAATTGTCAGATTACTATAGAGTTTGACAGTTAGGCGCGATAAAAATGTGATAAAATTTAAATTGTGGTGCTCATGTTACGATAACTGAAAAGGGGTGCGATCGAAGTAAGATTTTTAAGCTAGCATTTGATTACTTAAAACTAATTTCTTCTCAATGCCTCTGTGAGTAAAACTAAATGTGATGCACGCAGAAATCGAAATCAGCGTGAAATAGTTTTGATGTACCTCGTATCTTACCAGAAGTAGCGTGGTGCCATTGACACTGGAATATAATAGTTAATTAATTCATAATTACTCATTAATTAGAAACCTTCAAGGCAGCTGCTGAGATAATGAAGATAAATACACGAGATTATAATATTTAAAGCTTTACGCTAGACATGCGACGGGGAATCAAAATGACTCAAATTCGATACAAACGTTGTTTGTATGCTTTTAAGAGGCATAGCGGATTTTCCCCATTAGAATTTTGGCGCCTGCCTGGGGAAGTAACCTCCCCTTACAGAAGATCACAGTAAAATCAAACTTCCTTCTGATGGTGTTGCTGTCAGTGAGTATAGGTTCCAGGGCTAGGGCTCCACACGGCCCCGGCTCGGCCGGGAGGCTGCTGGGTGCGGAGACGCGGTAGAATCCCTAAAGCGGCTTCGCGCTAAGCAGCTTAGAGGGTATTCGCAGGATTAGAGTTTTAGCGATAAAGCGCCTGTAACAGTTACGGGGTCCTCAGTGCGCAGCCACTGCAACCTCGTAAGGCTTGCGGAAGCCAGGTGTGAGGTCCGTTTGGCGGTGTGCCTCTTAAAGGCGGTGTTGTCTGTAAATAGAGGTTTTGCCTTCGTCACTAAAAAAAGGACTCCACATGGTGGGGGATTGGATCATGGTAGCAACGGTGCGAATGATATTTTTGGTATCGCAAGCGTCGGCTATGGGGGCCGCTTAGGAGATCCATACGCTTGTTTGTCACTTTTTTTATATAAAAGAAAATCTTATTGTCTTTTTTCGAATGTTACCACAAGTTTTTAATATCAAATGAGATATCGCATTAAAATTTTGGAGGGTTTGAAGGTCAATGAAACTAAATGTTGTTTTAATATAGTTTGCAAGTTATTTATATTGCGTTTGTATGATATTAAATTACTACAGGAAAATATGATAAACTTAAAAACTTTCTTGATGTTGAAATGAAAGGAAATACACTTTATTCAAATTGATTTATTGAAGGCTCTTTTGAATCAGACAAGACATTTTCGGTCGCATCGGATGCGTTTTTGCGGTACCCATTTTTGGTACATTATGCATTAGAATGCCTACGAAGTTACACACTGCTGCGAAAATTACGCAATAGAAAATATAGGTCGCATTATCGCAATAACGCATTCGATATTATCGACCGATACAAACGCGCCTATGGGGTTGAGGCCTTCATCAAACACCACATAATCTAACTAAAAATAACGAATGTAAATATCCCACATCTACATTCAAATCAATGCAAGTCTTCTATATAATACACTAGTGGGTGCCCGTGACTTTGTCTGCATGAAGAAAATATTTTCCCATACAAACTTCCATCCCTTTTCTTATCCTCTTTAATGATGATTTCCGGGACAAAAAATTATAACACAACGTAATCTGAGAATACTTACTTCCATAGCCTGCGCTTCTCTAAAGTGCCAGACAAAAAGTATCAGGGACTTTTGTCCGCAACGACACAATAATAGGTACGAAAAAAAAACAATTGAAGGCGCTTTATAATATGCTAAATAATTTTTTGTGACTTATTAAAATTTTCGAAATATGTTTAATTTTCGAACTTGATTTATATTTTTGGTTACCTCGTTATTGTTTATTACAATGTAGTTAACAACATTCATTATATATAATCTACCTATTAAAAGAGGCCATGATAACGTTTTTACTTCCCGAGACGTTTGGAAATATATTTCAATATTAGACTTCCGATTAGTGGCTATTAGTTACTGAAACATAATTGCGAAGACTCATTGTTTGGATTGGAAACCAATAATTTTGTGAATCGAATAAATACAGTAAGAGAGTTCGAACACAGGATTTTGTGCTATAATCTGAGAAAGCTTCTTCTATATTACAAAATACTGTTTTGAAATAAAACTGATTCTTCTTGGTGATATGTTTCTAGTAATAAAAAATCTTTTCAGTCAAATTAGTAATTTTGATGAATTTAAAACAAACCATCAAATATTCTGTTATTTGTATGAGGATGCGATATAAGTTACGATTTCAAATAACTTTAATCAAGGAGATTATTCGATCTACTACCGGATGTAGATGA